AAATCCATGTTGGAATAATGGTTATATTGAATCATTATTTTAGTGCTATTGTAATCAATAATAAAAAGACTTTTGTTGTATTTTTTCCTAGGTACATGCAATGTTTCAAACGGCACAATTTATTGTCAGTGTGACAATGGTTGGGAAGGAATTCATTGTCAAACAAAAATAAATTTTTGTCAAAATATTACATGTCACAATAACGGTATTTGTCGTCCATTATTTCTTGATTATAAATGTGAATGTCTTATGGAAAATTATTCTGGTCGTCACTGTGAAATTGTATCAAAAAAAATTCGTATTTTGAAAATTGCCTCAAAATCAATTGCTTGGCTGGCAATTCTTGTGATGATTTGCTTTGCAATGTTTATTATCATTATGGATATATTAAAATATTGTTTTAATATTGACCCAATACGTGAAGAATTAGAACGCATTCGACGTGAAAAACGAAAGAAAAAACAAAAATCTACTATTCAACAATTTATTCATATCGATGAACCAGTAGAAAAATTAATCGAACAATCAAAGTCATCTATTGAAGAACTCAAAGTCTAAAATATAAAACTTTGTGTCTATATATGTTTCATGTGAATATATTGCTTATCTTGTGTGAAAAAAGCATTCAAAAAATAAATCATATGAAATGATCGAAATTATGAACCATCTTTTCAGTTGTTTTTATACTTTATCATATTATATCAAATATTTTCCTATCCATTTATTCTAACAAAGTTAGACCAATCAATAAAGTTATAATTTCTTTACATCATTGTGTCAAAGTTAAAAATACTAGAACATTTATTTTTGCTTCAAGATATTTTCGTTAGCCTAAATGATACATGAATGGGTAAATTACAATGCTGTTTTCATGCTGTACGATTGAAAACAATTTTTTTCTAACAGTCTTCATACTTAGACCCTCAATTAGTGTTTGGCAATGCGGTCGAGATTTCAGCATCCGATCCGGTCTGTAGTATGGATGTGGTATGTTGATGTGGTGTGTATGTTATGGCTGTGAGTGTTAGTCTTCTCTAAAATCCTCCACATCCTCACTCAAAAACGTACGTATTTCAAACTCCGAAACTACTGGTCACACTACAGAAATTCGTAGAAGACAATGCTCAGAACATAATTTGGTACCTATTTGACTAATATTCAGCAGATTTCAGTTAGAAAAATGCAATTTGAGCCAAAACCAAAAATATATTTGAAATCAACACTAAAAACTGATTCGTCTTTTTGAGTATTTCAATTTTTTGGCAACTTTTTTCGTCGAAAAAATTCACTCTCGATCCACCTCAGAGTCTGGTCAAAAAGTGTTTTAACTGCAACTTCATTTTATCACAGTAGTCTCAGTCGCTAATCCTTTCACATTTGTGATTAGAATACTTGATTTGACAAATCTATATAAGTTTTGTTGAAATCCTAGGGAAACATCAGGAAATTTTCTCTCAGGAGAGAATTGTTTAAGTGGCTTGACTGGAACCAAGCTGAATTCTGAATGTGACAAGAAGAAACTGGTTTCGTACATTTCTAGTTCTGAAAGATATCTATACAGAAATACTTGTATTATTAACGAATCAAAATCGTTCATGTAAGTTTTATACGTAGTCGAGAGTGTGGGTGGGGGTGTGAGAAAGTGAATACTCACAGTCACAGTCACACCCACATCCACACCCTAGAAAAATACAACGTCAAATCGAACAATAAATGTCAAAAGTTCTTCAGGACGACAAAAAATACTTTCGATAAGGCAAGTGTTAAAGACTGTTCTTTTCTACTCAAAGAACATCAATAAAGAGAATAGAAATTTTTCAGAATAGCATAGTTTGCACGCAACATAAAGCACTGATTGTAAGCAGACCATCTTAGTTTCTTAAAAAATGAGGATAAAAGAACGAAGAAGAAAAAAAAGATTAATATTAGCAACGAAGCATGAAAAACTACATAATTTGACTTTCACAAAAGTCGAAACAATTGATGTGGCTCTCTGAAGTTTATATTACATCTGAAAGTAGAACTCAGTAAAAGAGTGATATTAGAAGAATCTTGAACCAATTTATGTCTATTGATTTTCTTTTCAAATTTGTCACTATTGCAAAAAGTTACCTTTATCAGCAAAGAGCTTATAAAAAACAAAATGATACGATTATCTATTTGAGATTTTATGTCCATGTCGACTTTAAGAGTTTCAGAAAGTCTACATATGTATGTGAACAACATCTGAGATCAACAGTTTCATTCTCTACTTGTTTGTGAACACTTTTCTGACATTTATATATTATTAGAAGGGCAATTCTGATACAAAGAGGGTCTATAGCGACTTATATTCTTACGATTACCTTATATTGATGATACGTGGTCATTATTTCGTTGAGTTGTATGCAAACACTACGAAAAGAAAAAAAAATGCTAAGACATCAAAATCGTCAAGAATACGATATACAAGTTCAGCCGGTAGTGTGAGGAGAGGTAGAGTAATATTAGTAGACATCAGTATTCTCAGTTATGACTAGATGAACATCTCGTTCGAAAGTGAATTTGATTCAAGTACGTGCGTGCTTTATAAAATTGTTTCTTTATGATTTTATTTGATTGTGCGAGTTCTTGTTTGCGCTAAGAACAAAAAAAAGTGACATCATTAACTATACGGAGTATATTCATGACGACTCTACGACATCACATGTTCTTACCTATGACAGAATCTGCCGTTTTATGTACTTTCAATAGGACGAAAAATTTACCCACATCTGTTCTGTGCGTATGTATTTTAGTACATCTCTGAACATCCGAATTCAGTAATAGAATACATGAATTTTGAGATGTTGAGATATTCAGTTATTGAATTCTATTTTCAGGTTACTCATGTATGATACCAACATATCCAGAACCACAGTCATTCATATCCACACCAACACGCACATACCAACATCGAACCAATGGATGCACGCCTACACTAAGATAAAAAACAGTTCCAGCACATATATTCTCGCCCGACAATCAGACCCAGATCTTGATGCAGACATGAAATGAGGCCAAATCTTTTTAGGGTTTTCTTAGTCTCATTGAGCTTTACTCGCAGCCAAAAGATGGAATTGAATGACGTCCGATAGTTGAATATATTTTGTCGTCTGTACCGAAATACTGACAGATTCATATGAATATTGTAAATCTATGAATATATTTTGATAAACGATTCATTTCTAAAGATATATTTCTGACTTTAATCGATATTGGAGAAAGAATCGAAAAACATACGAATTGAATTTTCTTTTAGTTGATCAAAATTTTTTGATGGTCTGTTTTTATGATTCATAATACATTTTCATATGTGTCTGTCTTTTATTGGTTAGAAAAACGAAAAGAATTACTCTGAAACTTTTATTCTTACAAAATTACAAATGAATGCAGTTGGAAATGGAAAAAAATATTGTTTGCGTTGCTGCGAACCAACCAATAAGAAAAAAGTATGAAGAAGATAAAAGTAGTATGATGTGATGATTATTTGCTGTACCAATAGAATGTTAGAGAATTCGGTGGGTTTTTTAATACTATAAAAAGCCTGCGATTTACAATAATGTGTTGAGTTTTATTGATTAATTTAAATCTATCAAGAAACTATCCTGTACTACATTTTCCAATTATTATTAAAAACCAATTTTATAACGATTATTTATCGGTAAAATGGAGCTACACAGTAAGTGTCAAATATATCTTTTATTTTAATGTCATCTACTTATATAGAATACGAAAATATCATATGCATACCACCAAATACAGAAGTTGTCTGCTGTACACATTCGTTCAATTGTAATTCATCAGAAAATAGAAATGCGTCAACAGATCAAAAAGAAATTAATGACTTTGGTCTCACAATTTTCAAAAAAACCTATCGTGCAAAAAAGAAAATCAATCTTGATCAACTTTCATCCGTTTGGTATCTTTTCAATCCTTCTGAACAATTAAAGACATTTAGGAATGATAACCGATATAATCAGATTCAATTACTACAAGACTACAACATTACTTTGGCTTTTGGTTCTCTTATTTCACCTAACAAATTTAAATGTGCAGCATCCGAATTTCATTTTATAAAACAACCGGATTCAATATGGCACCTATATTTTGAAAAGTATAATTTGTTTGTATCCACTAACATGGAACGTTTAAGATTTCAATTAAAACGAGATCATATCGACATTCATCGTGGTGTTATCATTAGTGCAAGATCTAGTAACCACTTCATCATGCATGTTTGTTTGCGAGGCAATCTCGACGAATATACATCCAAACATCAAGCCATTGGTATGCTATCCCTAGATGAAGAAAAAAACATATTCTTGTCTTACTTGCTCTATCAAACTAAGTCATTTTTACGAGGAAATAAAAAGCATATGTTTGTTGTTTTTTTTTCTTCAGTATGCAAGTATAAACCACACTCGTTTATTTCGATTCTTCAGCTTTCAGTGTTTTTTTTTTTGTTCTTTAAAGGTTACGAACGTCAATTTTATCTGCAGAACACATGTGACAAACAGTCATGGCAGCCATGTTTTTCAGCCATGCATCTATCAATTCATAATATACAAAACAATGCTGATTCGGTCTATCCAATTCTGTGCTATTTTATTCAGTTCTTTAATTATCATTCCATTCCAATATATTTTGGATCAATCGAATTTTCATTTCAAAACTTTATTTATGGAAATAATATATTGAAGTTTGAGAATACTTTCATTCGTCAATATACTTGGCACATGCTTACTAGTGTGGGATGTCAAATATATGATCAAATAGTTAATAATAGAACATTCAAAAATGAAATCTTTCATTTATTAAATATAAATAATAATGATGATTTTCTTTATTATGCTTTTGAACGGCTACGACGATTGACAGTGTCTTCAGAAAATTATTTTCTTCAACTTCTACATGAATTGCCTAGTATTCTGCATCATTATCATGATTTCTATCTTGATAGTAGTTTTTATCAGATAGATATGACTTGGACTAATTATGTTCGTATTCCATGGTTTTGTTTTACACCAACACGTCTGATTGTTAAACCATATAAATTTATGCGATCAAATCGGGTGTTTCGATATGTGTCTAATGTCAATCAATCAATGGCATTTGTGGAATTTCGTGATGATACAGGATCGACATATTTATCAAAGGAACTTGTTCCCTTCTTAAAACATTACCTTGAAAATGGATTCTGGTTTGGTGGTCGTTATTATATTTATTTACATCATGCTCAATCTCAAATTCGTCAGAAACAATTCTATTTTTATTGTGAACATGAAGGTAAAATGACTCGTGAAGCATTTGAATCTTGGATGGGTAATTTTGATAATGAACGGTTACCAGCGAAGAATACTGCTCGACGAACACAACTTTTTTCTAGTACACAAGCTACTATTCAAGTAAGAATACATAAGCATCTTATGATTAAAAAAATATCAATCATCATCATTTATTCTTCAAAGATTGATAAGAAATTCGTTGAGATGATTCCTGACTTAAAGACAACAGATGGCAAATATAATTTTACGGATGGTGTCGGACAAATTTCACCAGAACAAAATCTATTGGTAAATGATGTGTTTTTTTTATCTTTTAATCATAATTATTATTTGATTCAAAAATATCATTGATTTGTATTTGTAGATTCATAAATCAATTGGTATAAATGTTGATCATGGCGATTATGTTTCAAGTGTTCTTCAAATTCGCTATGGAGGTTGTAAAGGTACTATTGCTGTTAATCCACTGCTTGATGGAAAAGAGAAGCAATTGTTAATCCGAGAAAGTATGAAGAAATTTGAATGTGAACATCAAATACTTGAGTTATGTAAACGTTCACTTAGACGTAAGTTAACATTTATTTATCAATTTATATCTTTTAGATATTTTATAATTGTATATTTTCAGGTAATTTATGTCTTAATCGTGAAGTGATTAACTTACTTTCATATCGTGGTATTTCTGATGCACATATTCTGATCGCACAATTACGAAATATTTTATGGCTAATGTCTTCTCTTGTTTCAAATCAATCAGCTTTGTCTGTTCTTAAAGATAAGGTTCTCCATGTTTTACAATGGTCGAAAATTTCATCTTATCCATGTTTATCAAAAGAACCATTTTTTCATCGTCTTCTTCTTACAACTGTTTCAAATAATCTTTATGAAATAGTAACAAGAGCTCATATACGTGTTTCAAAAGCACGTTATATGTTTGGAACTGTTGATGAATATAAAGTACTCAAACAAGGACAAGTTTTTGTTCAAATTACTAATGAAAATGGAACTAAGACTGTTTTAGAAGGACCAATTGCTATTACTAAAAATCCCTGTCATCATCCAGGAGATTTACGTGTTTTAGAAGCTGTTAACAACAGTTATCTTCACCATCTCTATGATGTTCTTGTCTTTCCTCAACAAGGTTCTCGACCTCATGCAAGTGAAATATCTGGATCAGATCTTGATGGTGATGAGTATAGTGTCATTTGGGATTCTGATCTCGTACCTACTTCACCCAATCCAATTCCATACGATTATGATTCTGGACCAAGTCCAAAACCTCTCAATCGTGTAGTAACGCGTGATGATCGATTGAAAGTTATCTTAGACGTTTGTGAACAAGACAATCTAGGTCGATTGAGTAATATTCATCTCATACTTGTCGATAAATTTGGTATTGACAATAAAAAAGCAACTACTTTAGCTGCTGGAATAAGTCAAGAATTAGACAGTGTAAAATCAGGTCAACATCCTTTTACATCAGAACAAATTAAGAAAATCATATTAACAGCTGGTACAAGTCGGCCAGATTTTATGCAAACATCTGGTTATACAGAGTATCAATCGCAAAAGATACTTGGTAAGTCATATACAGTATGATTCTTTGACATTAATCTAAACAAATTTACAATTCGCGTTTTTGTTTTTGTCTGATAGGAAAACTTTTTCGAAGCGCTCATCGTTTAACTAATACTTTTAAAAGTCAATTTCCTAATACGAACAATGAAATTGTTCTTGATCAAACCCTTCTTCATAATGGTTATAAAGACTATATTGATTCTGCTCGAAATCTTTATAAACAATATCAATTTGAAATGTTGGAAATAATTGGATCATACGGATTTGCAAATGAAATCGATCTTTTTTGTTGTATTGATTCACGTAATATGAAAGCCAACGAACGAAGTGATATTCAACTAACAGCTAAAGAATTATTAAGAGCTGTTTTTCAAAATATTCAAAAGAACTTTGGTGATGATGTTGTCTCATTTCGTGAAGCAAAAGCTAAAGCAGCTGCTTGTTATTATGTGGCATATACAGATACAAATGTCAAAGATAAATGTATGTTAAGTTTTCCATGGTTATTTACTTCTCAACTTCTTGCCGATTATTCTGTTGTTTCTGAAGATGAAGCAGAAATAAATGATTTTATGGGCAATACATTTAATTCTGACTTCAATTTATATCATTACATCAAACAACAATTGCCATCATTATTAAATCTACTTTCAAATGACAATCAATTCACCTCTATGGAACTCTTAGAGACATGCTTTCAAAATGTTTGTGCTACTAATAATGAACAGATGATTGAACACATCGAAATGCTTCTTGAACGATTGATCACAATTGCAAAAACTATACATTCGAACTAATACTTACCTATAGAGTCTTCTTTAACAAACATATTTATTCATTAAGTCAAGATTTTTACATAATCTATATTTCAGTTGTTCGTGTCTCTTTATAGTTCAAAACAAATATATTTTTTTTCGTCATATATTACTATTACTAATTACATTCGAATCAATTTTAATCATTTAATTGTAGTCATTCTTTATGTTCAATACGAATGACATTAACATGACATATGTGCAAAAAAAAGTGAATGACATATAATACAATGCAATATCTATACTCTATGCCTTATTCCATACTGATTGAAAATCGATTTTGGTAAATGACTCAAATATTGTTATTATTATTGTTATCTTAGTTGTAAGTACTTATGTTTTTATTATTCTAAAACAAATTTTTATTACACAGATATGTAAGTTTAATTCTTTTTTAATGCATACATGTTAATAAATTCCTATAATATATGTCTGTCTAAATATATTTAGTTGACATTGATATACGTATTATATTGGTTACAATTTGTCTGCAAACTATCACGTAACATTAGTTAATGGCAGGCTATCGATATCCAACAGCTAAAGACATCGAAGCTGTTTTTTTGTGCATGAAATTCATGGTCAGTATATTGAATATATTCAATGTTAAAAGATTTTCATTTTCTTTCAGAATTCTTTCGTAGATTGAACAAAATCTTTATCAATACAAGCTAGACACTACTTCACTACAGCAATGAAATTATACGGCATTGCAAATATCAAATGTTGCTTTGTTGGATTCAGATGACTTTATTTTGCTTTAGTACATCATTTAGAAATAATTGTCATTCAATATTTTCTTCAATAAAAAAAAAACTTTATGGTTTTCAAATTTATAGGAAAATAATTCATTAATAATGAAATCTTATTTATGTTTACGTCAAAAGAAATCTATGATAAAGTAAAAGACGCACAAAGTAATTGTAAAAAGAATACAAATGATTTTGAACGTACGATAAATTATAATCTTGTTCTCTTGGACTTTATTTGACATTTTAATCAAGTTCACAGCATGTTGATGTTCTTTTTTGACAAAAAGAAAACAAACACAGTAAAATGTTTCTCTGAGAGCGCATGTTTTATAGTCGTATGAATAATAACAACCGCCATAATGTGAGTAACGTATTATGATCTGTCATTGAAGTACAGAACGTAAAAAACAGTGATGCTTTCTGTATTGCGTCATGATAAACAATTACAGAACATAGAGTAGTTACCAAAATAATTCAACAAGATTTATTTTCAATTTTCTTCCATTGCTAGAAATGCTAGAAAAGTTCGAATAAGAGATTCGAATAGAGAATATTGTTTAAAACAGAAATATAAGGAAATAGAATTTACTTTCTAGTTTTCAAAGACGCGTGTCAGAGAAGAGTAGCTTTACATTCACACTTTGTTTAAAGCATACTTGAAAGTTAACTTAGAAAAGATTAGTTTTATACTGTAACAAAGTTGTGATTTTCGAAACATAGATGATTATTTGAACAAAGAAATTAATGAAAACAAGAATAAGATCATCTCGTGTAGTCGAAAAGCGATTGCAAGTGAATACTTATCATTTGCAAAAAAAACACCTGAAAACCTTTCAATGATGTTCACATGCGTAAATTGAGTACTTCTGATCAGTTTCCATGTTATTCGCGTTAAAGAGGTTTTATTGTAAGAGTTCTGTTTTTTTTGCATTCCAGTATAATTTTGAAATAATGGTAAATCTATAAATTATTGCTTTGTTAAATACGTTATAATTAATAATTCCTTATAATCTGCGATGCATAACTATCAGCACAAATTCAAGGTCTGTTGTGTTCGAATGGCAAATGTTACAAGGTTAACTTTGTCATTCACAAATAGAGCAAAGTATGTACGTTCAAATACATATGTAAAATGAAACTTAGAGTATGCTTCAAGATATTAGGTTTTTTTTTCAAATTATTAAAATGGCTTGTTATCAAAGTAAAATCAGGAATTCTTTCAGATCTTGATCATATGTTTATTTTAATGCTTTCAAGCGGCATATAAATGTTGAGTAACTATATTAGTTTTAATTGAAGAAATATTCAAGTCGCAAGTCTAGTATCCGTTCGAGTCATTAAAACTTCTAATTACGCCGAAATTAGCGCCAAGTACTATTTTGTATGCATTCTTTACTCCATCATTTACGAACTCGATAGAATGTATTTTCTTCATGATTCATCTATATTCTTGTATGCCACGAAAGTTGGCATATAGATGGATTTCTTTGAAAACTTATGTTCTGATAAACGTTTAAAACGTTCATCAAAAACCTTGCAATATACTGATTCGACTTTTAAAACTGGTTTTTAGCTACCTTGAATATGTAGTAAAATATGAAATCGATTTTCACAAAATCTTGAGCTTAGAGCCTTCTTTTTCCATGTTTGAATTCCTTATCTTCACCTTTAAACAATGTAATGCTAGTTAAATCAAGAAAAAGCGAACAAATATCTATTTTGATAACAACTCATTTTTAGTGATTTCAAAAAAACCCAAAATTTAATTTGTTCAACTACTTGCTGAGTTTTATTTTAAACATGAATTTAAAAGTAAATACTTTGCTTTATTGTGATTGAAAAAGTTAGACTTCCTGCGTTTCTCGTTCAATCACAATATGCTGTTGGATTATTATTGTTTGCAAAATTCGATTCATGACTTTTTATCATTCTTGTTATCTATGTTAATGGAGAAAGATAAAAGAAATACAATCTTGTTTCCATTGTAATCGTCATCTTTTGATGTAAAA